AAAATATGTATATATATTATACAAATATGTGTGTGCGTGTGTGAAAAGAATATTTATATAATTTACAGATGTAATTTTGGAAAAATGCTGTATGTTGCCCTACATATTGCAAACTAAATTTCAAAATGGAATAAGAGTATCATAAAGAATTAAACATGTTTCCCTGCGAAATATTTGAATTGAATCAAATTAATATCTAAATTACACATTTTTCTTTTTGACATTATGTGTCAAAGAACGATCTGCTTCGATACACAAACATCAAACATGATACTTTAAAAAGATTTTATTTTATATATTTTTTTTATATAACATGCATTATCGAAATAAAATCAAGATACGTGTGTATTTCTTTCTAGGAGTGATGAATAGCTAGGGGCTTTTTGACACGATGTGTCATTCGCAATTGTGCAAAATAAGAATTTCTGAAATGCTTGATATTAAAATAATTTCTCAAATGAATCAAGATATAATAAAGAATTTAAAATTTATCAGTTTTTTTATAATAGGATATATGTACGTGTAGGGTGTATGTACGTTAAACAATCTACAAAACATGACATTACGACGTACTAAATTATCTTTTCGTTATTACATTAGGTATATATGAAGTTTTGCAAATTACAATCAATATTAATTTTATTTTAATTTTATTTAATTAACAAAACATTATTAAACAGCAATAGTTTATGTCTGAATTATATAATTTAATACTTGGCATACATGTTTAATATATGCGAAACAAATGAATTGCAACTTGCCAAGTATTTCAAGTTGAAATTTTTAATTTGAACAAGAGAAAAAAACAGTACATTACGTTGCATTTCCAATGGCATGCCGAATCGCTGATGGATGTTTTTAACTCTTATTGGACTTGGAATCTGCGTTAACTTGATGGATAATGAGAAACTAATGTGAAGCAAATTACTCCAGAGCTGTATATCATGTATTACCGTAGCTCAAGGACAATTTCACCAAAATTTTTGCATATCTCTCTAACTTTTAGTCAAAGTAGATTTTTCAATCTGATACAAGCATGTTATGTAAAGTCACATCATCGTCTTCTATTTTGGTAAAATTGTCAGTGATGCTGTGTACGCCACACTAAACTGTGTTCAAAGGATAGAAAAATTCACTCGTAAAATAATAACGAATCTAATACTTAGAACATTTCACACGCGTCTGCTGATTTCATGTGAATGTACGTTATTTTACGTACGTATATCATTTCCGCTTCTGATTATTCTGCTCAACAATAGGTACGTTCCGGAAATGAAACTATCACACAATGATTATGTGGCAATTTAAGTTTGATTGGTACATGTATCGCATTCGACCAAATAAATTTAATCGTTACAAGATTCTGTTGCCTTCCAGAATGTGACAATGATCGCGATGTAACGCGATTATACACTTGTAAATCGTGCATTTATTCTTACAAATGATAAAATACAGTAAAATACGGTAATGCAATCATGCAAATTGATAATGAATTAGAGCTCGAATAAATGAAAAAGTCAACTTTAATTACTCGTACGTACTCTAACGAGTACGACAATACATTCACTATAATCGCAGACTCGAATCGAAATTTAAATCTGGTACATCTCCTTTTTTGTAATATTAAAAACTGCAATATTTTTTACCAGAGGATGGAACAAGGGATATTTGGATATATATAAAAGCAAATGATTCAAATATTTTAGATGCAAAAGTACTACTTTTACTTACTTTTATCCATTTAATTCTAGTTCAATTATGACAGTATATGTTCTTAATGCGGTCTTTTTCGAAAGAAATTACGCTGATATTCATGTGATGAAATGAATATCATCTTAAAAGTTACCAGTATAATTTTCATCGTTTAGCTATTATTCTTGCGCATCGATTCATTTCTTTAAGGCGTATAATTAAATCGCTAAGTAATTATATAAATATTAGATATTCTCTTTATATATCTGTGATATAATTTTTTCTTAATGTGCATAAAAAAGAAAGTATAGATTGAGAAACGAGTGGAAGAGGATGTGGTCATTGAAGCTGTGATGCTAACAGTTTTGTATAAAATTATGCACGTTGGTGTTTTATTTAAAATTAAATATGTTCGATTGCAACATGATATATAAAAATTGTTCTGCTGTGCAATAATGCTTACTTATAAAAGATACATACAAAGCGTAGAATATTTTATTTCTCGAAGAAATGAATCGAACCGCTGCAAAAACTAATACTACTCGGGAAAATACAAATGCAATTGTAGTCGAAATAACTTTTTTTCAATAATTACTTGATGTGGATTTAAATAATATAATTTCATGTATCGATAAAGATCTCTTGCGTTGAATTATATGTCTAATGTGAATATTTCAAGGAAGAACAATTTAGATAGCAAAGAAATCCTCTATTTTGAACCGACATAATAAAATAAGAACAATCACTCCCTATAAATTGATTAAGCAAATAAAAATACCGAGTTAGCGCAATTTAAACAAGGATTCAATCTCTAAGAACATAATTTCTTACCTACCATTATACAAATTACTTTTAATTAAATTAAACAAAAAAATTTTGTTACATTGTAAACGTCAATAATGAAATAAAAAGGAATGGAAGTTGTTTTGTGAAAAAGGGAAGGATTTTATCATAATTCTGTTAAACTCCATATTGCACAAATTGTATAACTTTATTCCTCTTCCTCCTCCACAAGAAAACATTACATGCTTATCTTTCACGTACACGTAGTTCTCTGTGATACATCGAGAATTATCATCTTTTATCTTATACGATAAAAAGATGATAAAAAAAGAATAATTATAGAAAGATATTACATTCGTATGCACAGAAACTATCTATTTATACATTTCACCTTTAATTTTATATCACATTAATTTTTTTTAATACATCACTGAAACATATCGTCATATCCTGGAGGAGGTAAATGGTCGTCGTCGGGTCTGCGATGATGTGGTCTCAATGGATCCAGTTCGGGTGGACCGAAAGGATCGAATCTTGCACCCGGTGGTATCGCACCTCTGCAACATAATATCCGAATTAATTCTTAAATCATCGTTAAAACATCGACGCGCACATCTACGACATATATGTCATAAAACATACGGAGGTAATCTTCCAGGAACTCCCAAACCTGGTGGATGTCCAACTGGACGACGTCTGTCAAATGGATCGAATATCATACCACCGCCTTCTCCAAATGGATCGAGATCTCCGACTCCTACTCTCGGAGGGAAACTTTATAAAAAATACAAATGCTTAATGTAAGTTTGTATCCAATTGTACCTTTAAGAGTAACAAGATACCGGAAGACGAGAAAATGCTCAGTGAAATGCGCACTGAACTATGAGATTTTTAATTTTCATTTATACTATTTGAAAGAGATTTCGTTTATACTCGTTTATATCTCAAAGGATTCGAAAATATTTTTTTAGGACAATTTTTTTTATATAAAAAATTAAACGATTTTACAAGATATCAAAAAATGACTAACGGCACTCGAAAGAGGATCCGTTTGTATTTCTTTCCATTTGTACTTTAAAGGATTGACCATTTTTTATCTTATGGTCGATACACTCTTTCTTGATGAATATCTGAAAATTTGAGAAATGTTGTAATTCTTTGAAATACAAATGAAAACAAAATATACAAATGGGTACAAATTCTCGACGAATACAATTTTTCTTCGAACATAAACAAAATTTAAAAATCTTGTGATGGTGCGCTCGCCATTTTTTCACCTCCTCATATCTTCTTACTCTTTGAGATATAAACGAAATAATGGTACAAATTATATTATTTTTATATATACAAATTATATTAAATATTTTTATTTTTTATAAAATTGGGGATTTTATAAAATCACCAGGTTTATTTTGACGATACACATACAGATATACAAACAAGTTATCATAAGTTGACAAGTTGTCATAAACAAATTTATAATAAAATTGTAAAGAGCAAAATAATTGCCAATGTATATTATTATTATTATATAGAATGGAACACAGTAATTGTATTTTAATTTCTATCTGAATGTTATAATCTCAATCTTCTTCAACAAACTTAAAGAGTCAACTTAAAGAACTCAACTTCTTGGACCATAAATTTAGATTAATATACAAAAAAATCATATAGATTATTTAAATCAATGTTGAATTACCAATTAAATGGCCGACAACAAGGTTCTGAGACCCTCAATCGATCGGAATGAACTGGCACTTGATTCCTTTCTGAAGAACATTCATCGTTTGGTGTGGTTTGAGTAGCTGCTTCATTCATCATAATGCACGTCGAATTTACAAAATCTTTTCGTATGGTATGCAATATTGTTTGATAGCATGGTATTACAGTTTCTAAAGATCCTTGTAATGCAGACACTGTTCCCTCGATAGGGAATTGAATATTAAAAACAGTATTATCATAGTGCCTCTACAAAATAATATTAAATGCAGATATTCATATAATCATTGTTACTTTAGCAGTTGGCTATAACATTAGGATTTCCTTGTTATTATGCAAATTACCATCAGGTTCAATAGAAGATCTATATCTGATTTGATTCCAAAAAGTACATATAATTTTCCCTCTCTTATATAACGTAATGTATAATTGGGATGTAAACTCCATTCTATTGGAAGCAATTCAGATCCTTTTTCTGATGCATCAAACGCTACCTGAACAATAATAAATAAATTTGAAGATTTCATCATTTTTAAAATAAGATTACAATATTTCAAAAAGGTTAATACATTTACCGAATATTATCCGTGTTATGATACATTGTTAAATGCCATTGCGTTTCGTGAAGCGCAATGATACAATGATAAAAATGTATTAACCGTTTTGAAGAAAGTAACCGTGAAAACCTCAAAAGTATTACGATTACGATAATATCAACGCGATATCAACAGAATATCCTTTAAACATAATAAATATTTATGCTTGAAATATATAGCAAAACTAATTTAACAACGACGCTCTTGAAATTATTATTTACACCTAAATAAATTATTTTTGAAACGAATCACAAGTTTTCATTTTACAAAAACATCATTTTAGGTTAGAACTTTGAAAAGTAAAAGAAAATTGCGAGAGATGCTTGGCATGAAAAAACATTGACTTGGATAGTTTTGATGTGACATCAAAAGGATACGATCAAGACTATCATCAGAATTCTTACTTTCTTAGTTACAACTTACATCATCTCCGATGCCGATGCATCTAAATCCAGATTTGGTCAAATACCAATGTACAAATAGAATTATTACGTCTTCTTTTTTATGAATATCATCATGGTAGAGTTTTTGAAAGAGTTCGAAGCCAAATACATCATTCGAATCGGTCATTCTGATAATCACTGACGAACACTGACAAATTAGCTTGCAAGTTTTTCAAGTGTACGCCATTATTGCGATTACTATCGGTTTCCATGTACGCGTTTGCCTAGTTCGCCATGGCCAGAATGTCATAACTGGTCATAACAGATCATAAGTGTCATAACGCACGAACAATATTTTCGCTGCGTTCTAGAGCTCTAGTTTATTAGCGATATTAATATTTTCATGCGTACATCGTGTGAGATTTACATATTTACGAGTGTCGAAATGAGATTCAAATATAGATATATATATATATATATATATATAATTATATGGATTTAGTACATTAAACTATTCCTATAATATTAAACTATTTCTATAATGAAAGATAATATTTCTATAATAAAATAAATAGTGATGCAACTTATGCAAAAGGATATGAAAATTGAATTGAACTAAACTATATCCTACTTTATTAAAATACATCCGGACAGTGCATATATGAAAAATAAACAATTCGAGAATGACTTGGACAAAATTATGACGCGATAAAATTTATTCTTCGCTCATAACGTTTTACGTACAGTTAATATGATCGTCAATAGAGAAGGTGATAAATCAATCTTTTATTTTTTTAAACATCTATTCAGAAATTTGACATACTCGCGCGAATAATTTTCCAATTATTTCAACTCTATCCGCGTAGACAATTAATCAATACATAAAAATGTACATTTACATATGTATATCAAAATATATTTATTAACAATTGAAAGAAAATGTCAGTTACAATCAGTCATAAAAATAGTAAGTATTTAGAGAAATAAAAAATCAAATGTATATTCAATTAAAATGTTAATAATCAGAATCAGCATCAGTGTCCACATCGTATGCAGATTCTGATTGATCACCATCAATCTCTTCTTCGCTTTCAGGCTGCACGCTGTCTTTTTGGTCTAAAGCATATCGTCTCCAAGAAAATCTATAAAATAATTTATATATCTTATATATAATTTCAAAATTTATATATGTGTGTATATATAAATAAAAGTAGTGTATTTATGTATTTACCTCTTCTTCTTATCAAAACATTCTTCAATGAAGGTATGAGAGACAATTTTTGTGTGATTTTTAAATTGTTGGTATTTTGGCGTATTTTTAAAAGCACATATCAAATGAGTGCATTTTTTATTGGTCGTATTTGGATCGGGAATATATCTGGCGCCCATAGCAAGAGCTTTTCTTCTAATTTCATCTCTTTGTGGATTAACATATCCACTAAGAGAAAATGTAACGTCATTGAATAATTCCTTGAACGGTTTCTTGAGGTTTGCAGAAACATTACTTGTTTTCAAAGTAGCATTTTTTATATTTTTAGGCTGTGGTAATCTTTGACAAGTGACACATAATCGATCCTGCGAATCCATGCAACATTCAGAACATTTTTGTTTCTTCTTCTCATCAACATTTGTATTCGATGAATCTTTCAATTTATTCAAGGAGCGTTTCTTAGAATTTGAAAGACTGTGAGCAGTATTGTTATTATTTTTATTAGTATCCATGTTTACCGAAGGTACAACATCTCCAAAAGGAGTTCTCACTACTTTTTTATTTGATACATCTTTGTTATTTTGAAAATTTTGAGATATATCTTTATCTTTCGTACTTTGTGATTGCGTTTTATTTTTCCCGAAAATCTGATCAGCTTCTCCAGCTTCTAACTTTTCCAATAACGGTCTTTTTGTAATTTTTTGCTCTTCTTGACATTTAACAAAATTCTCCATTGAATTTTTTCTTATTTGTTCATGTAATTCTTTCTTATAATTTGTTTTATCTTCTACCTTGCTGAGGATTTTTTCTTTCATCATTTCCATGGGCGTCTTAATGACATGTGGTTGTTTAAATTTAAACTTGCCAAATGCATCCAAACCTAAATCAATCGTAAGGTCCGATCTTAAAATAATGTATGATAATCCAAACAACACTTTCAAATTTGCTGATTGCATACAAGTAACCTTGATTCGGTCAAATTTAATCTTCAAAGTGTCTGGATTTAATTCCCTTTTAGTAAATAATTGAACTTGATCCTTAAACTTATTGTTTGCAGCTTCATCGTTTGTCATAAATTTGTGGTTCACAATGACTAGCCAGTTGTCAGGCTCTGAGGACGTAGATCCGGTAATGATCACGACACAACTCTGATAATTACCAATATCGACTCCCGTGATGTAACAAGGTTCAGTAAGTTGAAAAATGACATGTGCCAACATTTCTCCCGGCTTACCACATCTCCACGTAGCTTTCCAATTTTCTGAGTTACGTTGGAGAAGATTGGCGGCAGGATACGACGGGTGTTCCGAAGAACAACTTATTATCTTTTCGAATTTGACGATCATCTTTCTAAATTTCTGTAAATATTCATTTTTTTTTTAATGTTTACACCTATTGTTACAATTGTTGTTCTTTCCAATTTCTCGTTTGCTTACATTTTATTATGTACTAACCGCAGGATAGGTAAAAATTTGTGATTTGTTGCAAATTTAAGATGAGCAAGATATCGCCAAAACTTCTGAAGCGTTTATATTTGGTTCAATATTCCTATAATCTACATTATACGGCCGAACGTCGACGAACCGGGCATATATAGATCAGCTGTGGAAGGAAGCTATCATAACAGAAAAATTCATTTAACAGAAAGGGCGAACAATTTTCGAATCGCTCTGGAGACCTCGCGCGGTAAAAATATCAAATTCTCGACTAAAGCCAGCGGCACACAATGCTTTTTTTCTGCTGGTTTGCTAGCTGGATTGCGTGTTTGCTGAGCTCTTGTCTTCGATTGGTATATTTTTTTAGATCTAAAAGAATATACCAATCGAAGACAAGAGCTCAGCAAGCACGCAAATTCAGCTAGCAAACCAGCAGGAAAAAAAGCATCGTGTGCTGCTGGCTTAAGAGTTATCGAGAAACAAATTCCCTATATTACAATGTACATGGTGTGTGTACAAATATACATGATGTACACAATATTATACAATGGGTGCTTTCCATTTAGTGACACAAGTCGACACAAGTATCATTTTGTCCTTGTTAATTATTGAAAGCCAAGAAAGATACTAGAACGATACACCCAATAATAATAATAGTAATAATCGTTTGTATGCACGAATTATATAGAAATGTACATAAAGCCAGTGGCACACGATGTTTTTTTTCCTGCTGATTTGCTAGCTAGATTTACGTGCTCGTTGAGTTCTTGTCTCTGATTGGTATATTCTTTTGGATCTAAAAAAATATACCAATCGAAGACAAGAGTTCAACAAGCACGCGAATCCAGCTAGCAAACTAGCAAGAAAAAAAAGCATCGTGTGCCGCTGGCTTAAGACGTGATAATTATTCTTATCTTCTCCCGAATCGTACCGACGTTTACGGGTTATACGATTTATACAATTTGGCGTGGCGACGGTGGCATACGACAATGTCAGCTGGCATCGATGACGCACGGCGTACAACGACATCCAACGGGAACCATTCGAAAGATATGTTTCTCAGCTTTCCTTCGATAGTGGGGTAGGACGGACCAATTGACGTCGCGACGTCATCCGTTTATTGAATCGCGAGCGTTCCTAACGGCGATTCTCAGAAACATCGTTCATTCGATAGCCTCGATAGTATGACTGTCGTTGTCCTGCGTTGTCCAGCGCACCACGGCACTCGCGACGGGCTTTAAGCAATATGGCGAAGTGTGTCACGGAAGGCTCGGAGTAGACACAGTAGTGTCGTTTGTAAGATGACAAGTTCGCGGTATGGGTTGAGAATAACGTAGTGGAGAATAATGTGCGAATCGCGCGAGAGTAGACGTAATCACGTGCAAGCGTAATTGCGCCCAGCGATTCTTCGCGATCGTGTGATCACCATCGAGTGCGCGCGAGTTACCGGTGTGCAAAAACCATGGCTACGGATAAAATAAAGGTTGCCGTACGGGTCCGGCCGTTCAATCGCAGAGGTACGTACATATCTCGCATTGGTGTCGCGGGTAACTTACTCGACGGATTACTTTGCGATTTACGCCGCGCGACGCGCCTCGCTTTGCCTCGCTTTGCCTCGAATCGAACTTCGCCCCGCCTCGTCACACTTTGCCTCGCCTCGTCTCGTCTCGTCTCGTCTCGTCTCGTCTCGTCTCGTCTCATCTCATCTCATCTCGTTTCTTTTCCTTTTCGTCCTCATCCTCGTCATCGTCATCGTCATCGTCATCGTTCTCGTCTTCATCATCATCCTCGTCTTCATCGTCATCCTCGTCCTCGTCCTCGTCCTCGTCCTCGTCCTCGTCCTCATCCTCATCCTCATCCTCATCCTCATCCTCATCCTCATCCTCATCCTCATCCCCATCCCCATCCTCGTCCTCATCCTCATCCTCATTCTCGTCCTCGTCCTCGTCCTCGTCCCCGTCCCCGTCCCCGTCCCAACTCGTCTCGCGTCACGCATGGCATCTCGAGTATCAAAGAGATCCAGGGAAAATGCTACATGGAAAGATGCGATTGACCTTCGGTCCTATATCACGGAGGCTATAGGCCCGATGCAGAAGAGTCTTCCGACTGGCGGCGCACGATATTTTCGCTCGATTCGGATTCTCGTTATCGTATTGTCGAGCCGCCAAGAGTCTCGGACAAATCAGCCACGATCGCGATGACGCGCGCTCCAACGGTGTCGCGAGTCGCGAAAGTCAAGACATCTTTCGCTAAATTGCAAATCGCGATTTTTCGTATTTATAAGATTTATATTCGCAGACTCACGATGATTTTTCGCCCATCATCCAGATCTGCTCCAAATAATACGTTTCGTAGCATAATCGTGTCTCGTTCTCATTTTGTCGGTAGTCGATCCGAGACGTCACAAGGAAAATCGTTTAGAGTTTTATGCCTTTTACCGAGCGCTAAACATGGCCATATGACTCAGATCGTGTTAATATTGATAAACGATTCAACTGATGACTCGTCTGCGGAAAGAAATAAATTTGAAATTAACGCGAAATCGAACTCGATGACCCTCGCGGAATTAATCAAGCTTGGAAGATCCGAACGGCTTCCAAATTTTTTCACATGCAAATCGTCAACGCGTACAAATTTTAGCCTCAAAGTTGCGCGAAATATTCGAGTACGACGACGTAATTATTTGAGCGTTCCAAGCTGTAGAGCTTTTCAGCGTCAGGTTTTTGGGATCGGATATGTTTAGAATAAAGGCGAAAGCCCTGCAAATCCGACGCGTGAAAAAAAGCGCGTGAGCATAATCGAGTAAAACGTCACGCTCCGGTGACATTAGTCCGATAACCTTGGAATATCGATCCGATCGGAGAAACGTATTTCCCGAACTCGTAATCCTCGGGACATCTTCGATCGGAAGGGAAAGAGGGGGAGGTGTGGGGGAGGGAGGGGGGGTGTGATTCGCTTTCCGATCGCGCAAGGTCGAGTATCGTCGAGTATCGAGCCACGTGTATCGTCGCTCGTTTTGACGTAACCGGCCAGATGATATCAATTGTCATTCGAAATTACCTATCGCTTATGCGACGTCGCAAAAGTGTTCGATCTATTAGCATTCGTTATTTAAATTACAATCTGTGTAAATCGCGTTGAGACAGGTAGTTGCGCGCGCGCGCGCGTGCGCACTCTCGGTGACGTGTTACGTTATATTTTACGATATTATTCGGATTATAATAACGCGTCCGTGCACGCGGCGTCATCGGTGTCGGCGTAACACCTGCATGCGCGCGTCAAGTTTTTTCGCGCCGACTTGAACGAATCGTGAGGTGAGGGAGCGAAGACGAGGAAACGATTCCACGATAAGGTTGCGTAATTTTCCCTCTCTTTCCCGCATGTTAATCATCAAACTTTCGCGCGTCTAAGATTTAATTTACACGACATTAGGCGACACAGTTCAGGCATAGTTCTCGTTATTTAACAGGTTGTCGTTGCCCAATACCTCCTTTTGCCACCTGGCGAGCCACGAATCAATTTCCAATTCTTCAAAGCCTTTCTTCACACGAGTTGCTCAAATAACTCATTATTTATATATGTTTGAAACTGTTAGCGCGTGGCAAAAGATGTAATAATCGTAGTGTTCAGTTTTTGGAAAGCGCCACAAGCATATATCGCATTATACCTTTGACGCATCTTGTTGATGATTGTTGACAAGATTATTGTTACGAACAATAATTCGATGTAATGCATATCTATCTAACCAAAGCACCTTGCCTTGGACATTACAC